GATATGTCGATGTAGATAAGATATGTCGATGTAGATAAGATATGACGATGTAGATAAGATATGTCGATGTAGATAAGATATGTCGATGTAGATAAGATAAGATATGTCGATGTAGATAAGATAAGATATGTCGATGTAGATAAGATATGTCGATGTAGATAAGATATGTCGATGTAGATATGATATGTCGATGTAGATAAGATATGACGATGTAGATAGATATGTCGATGTAGATAGATATGTCGATGTAGATAAGATATGTCGATGTAGATAAGATATGTCGATGTAGATAAGATATGTCGATGTAGATAAGATATGTCGATGTAGATAAGATAAGATATGTCGATGTAGATAAGATATGTCGATGTAGATAAGATATGTCGATGTAGATAAGATATGTCGATGTAGATAAGATATGTCGATGTAGATAAGATATGTCGATGTAGATAAGATAAGATATGTCGATGTAGATAAGATAAGATATGTCGATGTAGATAAGATATGTCGATGTAGATAAGATATGACGATGTAGATAAGATATGTCGATGTAGATAAGATATGTCGATGTAGATAAGATAAGATATGTCGATGTAGATAAGATAAGATATGTCGATGTAGATAAGATATGTCGATGTAGATAAGATATGTCGATGTAGATATGATATGTCGATGTAGATAAGATATGACGATGTAGATAGATATGTCGATGTAGATAGATATGTCGATGTAGATAAGATATGTCGATGTAGATAAGATATGTCGATGTAGATAAGATATGTCGATGTAGATAAGATATGTCGATGTAGATAAGATAAGATATGTCGATGTAGATAAGATATGTCGATGTAGATAAGATATGTCGATGTAGATAAGATATGTCGATGTAGATAAGATATGTCGATGTAGATAAGATATGTCGATGTAGATAAGATAAGATATGTCGATGTAGATAAGATAAGATATGTCGATGTAGATAAGATAAGATATGTCGATGTAGATAAGATAAGATATGTCGATGTAGATAAGATATGTCGATGTAGATAAGATATGTCGATGTAGATAAGATATGTCGATGTAGATAAGATATGTCGATGTAGATAAGATATGTCGATGTAGATAAGATATGTCGATGTAGATAAGATAAGATATGTCGATGTAGATAAGATATGTCGATGTAGATAAGATATGTCGATGTAGATAAGATATGTCGATGTAGATAAGATATGTCGATGTAGATAAGATATGTCGATGTAGATAAGATAAGATATGTCGATGTAGATAAGATAAGATATGTCGATGTAGATAAGATATGTCGATGTAGATAAGATATGTCGATGTAGATAAGATAAGATATGTCGATGTAGATAAGATAAGATATGTCGATCTAGATAAGATATGTCGATGTAGATAAGATATGTCGATGTAGACCTACATGTAGCTACTAGCTGTTTGGAGCAACAAGCCAATGACCGACCAACAACAAAAAGGGGGGGGGGGCGAAAAAAATGTTTTATTTTCATTGTAGTTATTAATCGTGTCTGATTATTACTAATGTTTACAAATTAAAATATCTAAGTAAGAGATATCGTTTTAAGACATTATCAAGTGTAGACCGTTTTACGAAAGGCGTATGCAACAATATGGGTTAAAACTTTTTGAATAAAACACTTCAAACATTGTTTTTTTCTGGATTGTCTTACCTGGGATTACACTATTATAGTGACGTTTTTTTTTGTATGGAAAAAAAGGTCAGCGATAGCGACGTCTTAAGTAGTACGAAGATGATCTTAAAAAAGATTACAGACGTCAATGTGCTATATACCTACTTTTTACCTAGAATGTCTCTCGAATAATACTATTGACCAGGGCTGCCTCTTTATTACTACATTTGTTTTTACTAGGATGAATAGTGCGTTCTTAAAGAAAATTCATTATTATTGGCCTTTTTATATTATTTCTTCTTATTATGAGAAAAAGGTGTAAACGTAGATGATTGTGGGCACAATGCACATCTCTCCAAAATACAATCGTACATTGTCAATGGCTTTTGTGTTTTGAGTCACTATATTTTGAACTGAATGGTCCATGTTGGTTGTTTTAGGAATAAAGAAAGAAAGAAAACATTACAGGTAAAAAAGGAATACTAAATGATTGGATTATATTAATTCTGAAAAGACGAATAAAGTGCAGAAAGAACATTTTAAAAAATTTGCTCTTGAAAAGAAAACAATAGATGCAACGCATTAAAGAATGAATGATTTAAAAAACCAGCCTTGGCGATCCTTTATCGGCTATGTCTCGTTTTTAAAGGATCCACAAATGGTTTATTTGACACACACACAAAAGGGTATTGTATCAATTAATTCATTCATTAATGAATACCTCCCAGCTAGAAAACTAGTGGATGGTTGGAGATGCAGAAGACGTAGCCAGATGCAGTCTTTTATGCATCATGCCACTAGACTATCTGATGAAGCTGGCCTCTCCACCAACCGACAAAACATTCAACGCTTTCATCCCCTTCCCCCTTGGTGTCGCCCAAAGACCCCAGACATACGCTTGAAATTAGTAGACATTAATGCCACTAAGCAAAGCCGTTCATCTAACGACCTTCAAATCCTAGCTCTGGAGACCATTAATACCTTCAAGCCCAGTGCTATTTTTGCATACACTGATGGGTCGGCATCAATAGATTCTGGAAGAGCAGGCTATGGAGCCTACATCGACTTTCTTGGCTCTTACACAGTCACAATCTTTGGACCATGTGGTAGTGTTTGCAGTTTTGATGCGGAGACCATGGCAGTCTGTGAAGCCTTAAAAGTCATTGACTCTCAACTCGGCGAGGGACATTTGAGGGCAACACAGATTGTTGTGGTCACTGACTCAAAATCTGTACTACAGGCTTTGCAAAGCCCCAGACCATGGCCCCCCAATATCAACACTGTCATCATGGCTTCACATAACATTAAACAACGCTATGGCACCCCTGTAATTATGCAGTGGGAACCGAGTCACATAGGTGTGACTGGCAACACAATTGCAGACTCTTTGGCCCACCAGGAAGGGCAAATTACACCCGCTGATGAGGCTGAAAGCTTTCATCAAGCCCTGGCTATAATACAAAAAAAAAAAAAACAAATGGAAAAGTGGTTTGAGTGCTGGGACAATTCCCAAAAAGCCTGTGAAGTCTGGGAGCGTTTGAGGCGCCCTGACCGCACTTCCCCGTGGTGGAGGCTGTCCAGGCCTGAGCAAGCTATTATAGCACAGTGCAGGACAGGCCACTGTCCTGTTGGCTCATATTTCTCGCGGCTATGGCCAAATTTTGATTCACGGTGCCCCGCTGCGGGGAAGAAGAGGAAACCGTGCCTCATATTCTGTTTGACTGCCCCAGACTTGCTGATCTCCGTCTCGACAGGTCTGGGAAACCCAAAATTCTCGACCTGTATGGCGACATTTTTGCACTACGCAAGACAGCAGGGTTTCTGTCCAGGGCTTTTGCAAGAAAGGATTTGAGCCTCTCAAGCCCTCACTTTAATGGAGTTTGATGATGATGATGAAGATGATCAATTAATTCAGGCAATAAATTTGGGTGAAATAGAATATAAAATCTTTGAAATTGTAGATATAAGCACACAAATACTTTCACAAAAAATTAGATTGTACACCAGATATGTCCCATACCGACTAATAACTATTATTAGCCTATTGCTTCTGTTTCTTATATACCTCATGTTGCAATACATGAACATTTTCTAGGTTTCGTACAACTGGAGAAGGACTTAATGACTTCGTAATAGAAAAAAAAATAATACAAAGTTAAAATTAAAATAGAAATAAAACATCTAAGTGGTCATGAGGGATATGACAATGGGAAAAATGGAATAATCTACAAAAAAGGTACATGGTCCAGCTCTGTCGTAATACATTTTCTTTCTAGAAAAAAACAAGGGATGGGGCGGCATTTTTTCCATTTCGCACGCAGGCGGCCACAACCCTAGCGGCGGCCCTGTATGTGTCTATTTCGGTAACAGAGGATATATAAGACTACTGCAGGCCCTATTATAACTGTATGAATGACCAATGATGACCAGTATCAATGCGACAGAAAAAGGTCCCAACTTCGATGGGCGGAACATGTGAACATGAACATGCATGCCAGACAAACGCCTTTTGTACGGGGAGCTGTGTGCAGGAAACCGCTTCAAGGGAAGCCAATACAAGCGCGACAAAGACACTCTCTCAAGAGCTCCTTCAAGGAATGCGATATCGACATTCACAGCTGGGAAGCACTAGCTCTCGATCGCTCCTCATGGCGTGAAGCTGTGAGTCTCAAGATATGAAGCAAGAAGAGTGGCCAGGGCGAAAGAGAGCCGAACCAACAAAAAGCTGAGAGAAGAAGAAGGCCTATCTGCAACTGACCATACCTACCCGTGCCACGTATGCGGCCTTCTTTTTAAAGCGAGGATTGGACTTTACAGTCATCTTCGAGTCCATAGGAAATGAGCAATGTGCTCATTTTCGACTTCGAAGGAGGAGCTATATAATAATTATGATTTGTAGTGGAGAATTCCTGGGATCTTGCGACGATGCTGACCAATTCGACACGTTATCTTATATGTGTCTATTTCGGTAACAGAGGATATATATATATATATAAGACTACTGTAGGTCCTTTTATAACTGCATGATCCATAATATTGGGAAATGCGTCGCTAATTTATAACCCAAAGGCCCGGTTATACATTTGCTTGGACCTCGAGTATGTCACCCCTACACTGACATCAAAGAGTAGCTCCCATCAACGGTACGTTACAGCCTTGTAAACAGTAGCGCACTCTAAAGTCTTTGCCTTGTAAGTAGCAGTACACAGTCACAGCCCTGCTAACAGCCGAAGTCACTATTATAGTTCTTAGATCCAGTTGATACGGAATAAATAAATGCATTTATAAAGTATTACACAGAGATGTATATGTAGGCCTACTAAGGCTTTAAAATGGAAGCCATCATGATTAATTTAAACAAAAAAAAAAGTTAAAATATTTGTTTGAAACAAGTTTTTAAAAACGTTTCTCTAAAGATACATTACAACATGAGTACCAGTAATACATTGCAAGAAATGTTTCTCTAAAGATACATTAGAACATGGGTACCGGTAATACATTGCAAGAAAAATTAATATCAGACCCCCTCTTTCTCAAAGCACTCATTTCAGTATAGAACAATAATTTTTCTATACAGTTAAACAAAATAGCAGAGTGCCCCAATAGACGTAGTCTTCAAGTCTGAAGAGTGCAGTAGGCCTATATTACATAGCTATGCAGCTCCTTCTGTGACCTGCATATAGTAGACAAAACATGTCTGCCAGATGTTATACATTCTCTGTTTGCACTTTTATCGTTGGTTGCATTGTTTGGTTCTGAAATGTAATGTTCCGTTAGCTTGAGCCTTTTTTGTAGGCCACTGACTTTCGTTATGGGAAAGCTGATATTCAATGTGTTCAATGGACCTTTGTAACTCAAAGCTACTAATTTGGCATACGATCAGTCTTCCCATGCTACAAATAATGCTGTTCTGGTGATGACAAATGTGTAAAGTATTGAAGCTAATTATTGTTTGATAATTGTGTTGGGTAGGTAAAAAAAAATCTAAGCTCTCAAAAGGACAATGTGGAAGAAAAAATTATGACAATTTTTATATTCGTAAAAATTTATTTTCTTCTTCAATCTTTCAACACCATGTTGTTTGTTATTCTGACATGAACACACCTGTTATAATGTATTATATTTTGCATACTTAGCCATGCAGGCTAAAACTATTTCTATCTATCTATATATAAACAGCCTTTGCAGTCAATTACGTCTAAAATACTTAGCAATATTAGTGTGCACAATTTAACTGTATACTTCAAATGTGAGTTTACTGGTGAATAAAGCTTTTTACAAAGCTAATATCAACTCACTCTGTCTGGTCAAAATTTTGTACACATTTTTTCTCCCACACCCAATCTCGGATCAAACTGAAATTTTCAACAATTATTTCTTTTACCCAACAACACAAAAAATCAATTAAAAAAAACAAAAAAAAAACAACAATTAGTTAATTAATTACTTTGTTTGGTATCTCAAACAAGGAAAAGAATTTGTACTTGACTGAGGTGGTGGTATAAGCTGAGTCCGTCTCCTTTGTATATCAACTGAGTCTTAGTAAACACAACATGAAAAATAGGTCGAGAGTATAGAAACCATAGAGAACTATACAATCTTCCTTGTTCATAGGCTCTCCACTAGCAGAGTGGTTACCATGTTAGCATGAGAAGCATGAGTTCAAATTCAGGTCGCTCCCCCTTTTTAAAATATTTTTATAAATGCTTTTTTATTGTTAGTCTAGATCTATTACAAATTCAATTACATGAGGAGTGGTGGCCGAGTGGTAAAGTGCTTGGCTTTTTTGAACCGGGGGTCCCGGGATTTTTATTTCGGGATCCTTGGGCGCCTCTGAGTCTACCCAATTACATGACTGATCCAAAATAATTGATACATGTATGCTTAATATAAGCTCTGTTTTTTTTTAAAAGTATTTTTTGTTTTTCTTTTTTTTTTCTATAATTAGTTGCTTGTTTTTTTTTTTATTTCTAGCATTAAAACTTGTACTAATTTAAGAGTAGGAATATCATGCCCAAATGTTAAAAAACAGTGAATCATGACTGAAATGTTTGAATTAATATATTAAGCCAATTGTAATAATAATAATAATTTTTATTATCCAGAAAGAAATTTGTCTTACAATTTGTGCATTACACCAAACAAAAAATTATAACTATAGAAAACCAAAATATACATTCATACCAGACTCACTCAGAATTAACATGTGAAATGTTTATGTCAGTTGAATTTTATTTAATGATTTGATTGCCAGGGGAACAAAAGAGTTTTTGTGTCTGTTAAGTAGTGTTTGTCTTTGCTATACCTGTCTGGTATCTCTTTCTTGATGGTAAAATCACACAATCCTGACCCAAAGGGAGATTTTTTTTTCCTAAAATCTTTTTAGATTTCTTATGAATGTTTTTCTCAAACAGCCGCTCAAACGGAGTTAGTTTTTTGCCAATGTTTTACCAGCAGCATTTAGGATTTTATGAAGTTTATTTTTATTTTTAATGTTCTAATTGTCATACTAGGCAGAGATATTAAAACGAAAACACTGCAGATGTGAGCGTGACAAAATATCGCTAAGGCATTTTTTGCTAGCATTAAATGAGGACATTTTTCAAAGTAACCATAATGTTTGCTGCCCTTTTTTAATGATATAATCAGTACTTGCAGTAAAATTTGATTTATATTTATTGTCCAGGATAGTATAGTACTAAGGTATTTAAAAGTTTGCACTATTTCAATGTTCTTTCCAGCTACATGAAAAGGAGAGCTGAATCATCAGCGAATTTTGTGAAGAAGCAAAAAGAACTATTGGTGTACAAAATGAACCACAATGGCGATGTCACAGCCCTCTGGGGGCGCCCCTGTGTTAACTATATGTGTATTTGATATTACTTGTTTGCCTAACCCACTGAGGTATTTAGGTCAAAAATTCATAACCCCTTATGATGTCCATATGAAAGCATGTATTTTATTTGTAAAACAATACTAATGAAACTTGGGGTAACTATTCCTGAATATTCCCTAGATCAACATGAAGACCTAACAAAAAAAAAAGTTTTACCTTTTATATCTATGGGCAAGTCTTTATTTCAGTTAGTCATTATCATAAGTAATACACAGTAAGCCTTGACTTCCATTGCACAAGCAATCTTTTATTACCAATGTTTATCAATAAAGTGCACAACATAAATTTATTTACAGAATTATGTTTTACATGTTGGACAGTTACAGCAAATGTTACTTATCATCCAAATGATAAAACTCATTGCAGATTAAAAGATATTTACATACCACCATAAGCTAAGAGCATTCCAGGTTGTATTACAACTTGCATATACACAGCAGCATCCAATCTCCAACTATAAGCAGAGCCAGCCAGGTAAGTCTACACATTTCCAAAGCTATGTCTCCAAAATGTTTTTATTACCGGTATGGAATAATCGCTCAACTTCTTGCTCAATTTCATCATCCTCATCATCACTGAACATGGATTTGTCGTGGGCTGGTTTCTCGATGACTTCCGAGAATATTGCTTGAAATTCTTTACCTGACCGTAAAGTACATATTTATGATTCAAAATTTAGAGTTGTCACAAAAAAGCATTCAATTTTAAGTTAAATAAATATTAGTAGAGGTTTCTGAAATCTTTCAAGTATGGTTAGCTTCAATAAATTATTACATTTACTTATTTAAAGACCTTTAGTGACACTGTATTTCACCCCCGGACAGACTTGTGCAGGGTCAATGTAGCCATTGATTAAGAGTCTGTACCATTTTGTCATGACTAGAATTGATGTATTTTAAAATCACCAATTAATTCATTGTAATTAGAAGTTGGGCATTGTAGATTAGTTTTCTCTTTCTGACCTTTTTTTTTTTTTTTTTTTTGATAGTGGACTTCATGAAATGCCTCAAGAGGATACACTTTGTAGCAGATATAAATGTAGTTGTGCTGCCAAGTAGCTTTGAAATGATGTGATCAATCTAGTAATAGGCTCCACAAACTTGTTTGTAATCTCTTTTGATCACTTCATTGGGCATGTTCTCTCTTTTTTTTCTTTCTAGTGAAGTCAAATGATAAACAAATTTGATCTCCTATTTGTGAGAGCTAATCCATGTTTGTATAGACTGAGAAATGGGGAGATCAGTCATGTTGTAGAACATTCAAGAAAACTCACTCTAAGCAGATCTTTCAAAATAATTGACAAGAAGCAAAATGTAGACCTACCTGTAATGGGATCTTTTTGATATTCAATATGGACATTTTCAAAACCAAAGTTTTCAAGGCACACCATGTACTTTACTGGGTCTGCAATCCCTTTATTGAGGAAACCATTTTTCTGAAGCAGAAAAGATTTCAAACTGTTTCCCATTGATCAGTAGTTTAACATAGTGGATAAGGACTTAGTAAGTCACAATATTTGTAGGGGTAAAAAAAGAAATATACAACACTAAGAATTAATACATTAGTAGGGTATATTATGCTGAAGGCCAGTTTAGACATACTTTTTGCTTCTTATGTCTAATGTAAAGGAATAGAATTGATCTCATCTTTTACTGGGTGGTGAGAAAGCTTTATTAATAATTATTTTAGTAATTTTAGACTAATCATGATTTAGTTAGAAACATGGTTGAACACAAAGGAAAATTTATTTATCTAAATCACCCCATTATGAAACAAGATATCTTTTGCATCTCAGCTTATACAGTTGCTTATCTGAGATAGACTACTGCTATCTCTGGCTCTATGTCACTTTATGGCAAAGACAGTTCTTCTTTTTTTAGTAAAAAGTTTACCCTTTTTAGACCTTGCGATCCATGGGGCAGATGATGTTATGGTCATCTGTTTCTATTGTCAAGGGTTAACGAGCAGGGTGTCATGTGGCCTGTACAATGACCAACCACCTTAACTTTCCCCAACTAAAGTCAGGTACCCATTAAAGTTGGGTGGATTCACAGGCACCCTAAAAATCCAGAAATCACTGTCTTCACCGAGATCTGAACCCAGGATCTCAAATTCAGAAACCAAGCAATTAACCACTCGGCTATTGCGCCCCAATTTGTGATTTTTTCAAACTGATTTTGAATAATGTCACCATAATCTCAACATGAAGACCGAAGGGTAGTTCAAACACATCAGCACCTACTAACCTGGGATTTTTTCAAATTGTCAATGCACAAGGTTGTGACCATGACACCACCTGGCTTCATCACACGATAAATCTCTCGTAACACTGGCCTCATGCTAGGCCAAAAGTAGTAACTGTTGCAGTGAAAGACCCGATGCACAGAATCGGTGTTGAGGGGAATACTGCTGGCACATCCATGAAACAACATTAACTTTTTGTCTGTTAAAGCTTGATGAAGTCTTTTACTGGCTGTTTCCACCATATAAAATGATGACTCGATGCCATAAAGTTTTCCATCGCCATCTAAAACACACAAAAAAAAGGTAGCCTTAATTTTCATTTGTATTGGTAAATAGTAACTTAACATTTTCAAAGGGGAATAACTCTTTTTGAAACGATCTTAATGTATTGAAAGTTCTGTCTAACTGTTAATGATTCCTATGCAAGAACAAGTGTATGTTGTAGCAGTTTCAATATATTTATTATACAAAAACTTTACAATACAACTCCAACACCAACAACTTTTTACTATTAGTCCTACAATCTCTTCATATTCTAACTAACTCTCTCTAAAAGCTTCAAGTTCTAACTAGCTAACATGAACAAAAATCAGGCTTTAAATACCTTTTTTTTTCACTGATCTGGACCAGTTGGGAAAATGGAGGGGTGGGGGAAAAAGGGATATCTAGGTGAATTTTTACTGTATTTACTTTTTAAAAGCATTTATAAAAAAAGGAATGACCTGAATTTGACAAAACAACCACTCTGGAAGCGCCTATGAAAATAGAAGATTGTGTAGTTATCTATTGTTTGTTAAAAACTTACTTATAAAGGGGACTAGTACAGCTTATACCACCACATCAGTCAAGTACAATTTCTTCCTCTTGTTCCAGATACCAAACAAAATAATTAATTACCAACATTTAATGAACAAATTGGTTAATTCTTGTGTTGTCAGGTAAAAGAAATAATTGTGCAAAATTTCAGCTTGATCAGAGATCGGTTGTCGGATAAATAATGTTTACAAACTGTTTACCAAACAGACAAACAAAGTGAGTTGAAAAATAAATAAATTGCCAAACCT